CCAGCTACTCAGGAAGCTAAGGCAGGAGGATCGCTTGAGCCAAGGAGTTTGAAGTTATAGTGAGCTATGATGATGCCATTGCACTCTAGCTGGGTGACAGAGTGAGACTCTAGCTTTAAAAAAAAAAAAAAAAAAGATCATGTTTTCTGAAAATCCCTCTCCCCTCCTCCTTACCCCCCACCAAAATAAATGTATCATCTGTGAACAGAGATAATTTTACTTCTTTCTTTCCAATTTGGATGCCTTTTATTTCTTTTTTCTTGCCCAGTAGCTTTGGCTAGGACTTCTAATATTATGTTGCATAGAAGTGGCAAAAGCAGGCATCTTTGCCTTGTTCCTGATCTTAGAGGAAGCATTTTCTGTCTTTCACCATTGAGTATAATGTTTACTGTGGGTTTTTTTGTTTGTTTGTTTGTTTGTTTTTTGAGACAGAGTCTCACTCCTTTGCCCTGCGTAGTGCCATGGCGTCAGCCTAGCTCACAGCAACCTCAAATTCCTGGACTCAAGCGATCCTCCAGCCTCAGCCTCCCAAGTAGCTGGGACTGCAGGCACACCCACAACACCTGGCTAATTTTTCTATTTTTTGTAGAGGTCTCACTCTTGCTCTGGCTGGTCTTGAACTACTGACCTCAAATAATCCCCCCACCTCGGCCTCCCAGAGTGGTGGGATTACAGGCGTGAATTACCACGCCTGGCTCTTGAATCTTTTTTCTTTCTGTTCCTCAAACTTAATAATTTCAATTGCCCTATCTTCAAGTTCACCAATTCTTTCTTTTTCCTGCTCAAGTATGCTTTTGAAATAATTCCTTTAGTGAATTTTTTATTTTAGCTACTATACTTTTCAGATCTAGAATTTCTTTCTGGTTTCCTTTTAGGTTTTTTTAACTCTTTATTGATAATTTCCATTTTGTTCATATATAATTTTCATGACTTTCTCCACATCTTTTTTTACTTCTTCAAGCATCTTTAAGACAGTTGGTTTAAAGTCTTTGTCTAATAGATCTGCCATCAGATCTTTTTCAGAGTCTGTTTTTGTTTGTTTTTTCTTTTGAATGTGCCATGCTTCCTATTTCTTTGTGCGCCTTGTGATTTTTTGTAGCAAACTAGACATTTGAATCTAATAATGTAATAACTGTGGAAATCAGATTCTCCCCTACCCCAGGTTTTTCTGTTTTCTTGTTATTGTTTATTGTTTTTGATTTTGATTGTTGTAGGCTATCTGTGTGCCAAGGGTCAGCCTGAGGTTTAAACTTAAGGTCTTTTCGGATCTTTTCTGAGCCTGCATCTTTCCCTGGGCGTGTGTTGCCACTTTCTAATTTTCCCTGTATATGTGGTTTTTTTTGAATATCCTAGTCTCTAATATCTGGCTGTCAAAAAGGGAAAAAGAGGAAAAGGAAGGGGGTAAGGAAAGGTTGCCAGTCCTTTAAGCCCCTGGAAGTCTAGCTAGAGGGGGAGGGGCTTGCAACAATGGAAAAAGTGTAACAACAATGGCTGCCCACCTCTTTTTCTGTACCTCTGTGATCAGAAGCAGCAGTGATCAGAGCACAGATCCTTTCTACTTTGAGGTCAACTTTCTTTTTGCTTACCCAGGCTCCCACAAGCTGTGTGCAAGCTGCTCCAGGAACACATGCACAGCTGCTTTCCAAGGAATTAGTGGTAGTTGCTACTGTGCTAGATCTGAAATTGATAGAAATTAACTGCACTTTACCATTCAAGCCTTTCCCTGGAAGTTGCAAACCTTCAATAGACTCTAGAGTTCCAAAATATAGTTAAATCAGACAGATTCTACCAGTGCAGTTGGTGTCTAGGTGAGGGAACAGAGTCCTGGTGTTTCCTACTCCACCATCTTCCCAGAATCCCCCAATAATATCATATAGCTAAAAGATCCAGTTCAGAATCACACATTGCAAATGCAAATTTAATCATCATGTCTCCTTATTCTCCTTCAGTGTTCAGTCTTTCTTTGGCTCTCATGACCATGGCACTTTTGAAGGTTAGAAACCAGTTATTTTGTCTGGCTGTCTATTTTGTCAGAGACACCAGCGTGTCTCTGAATGTAGGTTTGTCTGATGTTTCCTCATGATTTGAGTTAGATTATGCATTCTTCACATCAGTATCACAGCAGTGATAGTGCATTCTTTTCATTGCACCTATCAAATAGTAACACATGATTTCACTTTGTCCCTGACTGGTGATGTTAACTTTGATCACCTAATTATGGTGGTGCTTACCAGGCTTCCTCACTGTGAATCTACTTTTTCTCTTTGTAATAAATACATGTCTTATGAAGAGATATTTTAAAATAGGGTATATCCTGTTCCTCATTAAGCTTAAAATTTATTCATTTAAAAAATTGATGTGCATGTTTATAACTATGGACTCATAGTTTCGTATTATACTTAATAGAGTATGACTTATAACTATCATTATTTATTTTGATGCTCAAATTTTCCTTGATTTGACCAGCAGGTTCCCATTCAAGCTGGTTCTTGGTGTTCTTTTGACATGTCCCCATCTTTGTATTCTGGCACAACAAAATGTTGTACTATCCCTGGTTCAATCCTGGAATCAACCATTTCTCCAAGGATTCATTGTTCCATTTAATAGAAAATGGTTTTTAGCAGCTGAAGTCTGGACACTAGATATACTTACTGCTAGTGGGATGTCACTACTCCCCAGATCTCTCCATGGCCAGAGCTAGGGAGTGTGTGCAGGAGTGTGGGGGAGTGAGTGTAGAGATTTACATCTCTATTTCTATATCTATATCTATCAAAAGCCATGCATTTACACCCGTAGCTCCAATTCCATTCTGACACCATGGGATTAATTCTAATTTCCTTCTTTTCCGTATTGATAACCCTCTTTTCTGACAGTAAGAAACCAAGCTTTTATTATCTTTAATATATACTTATTTGATCAGTCTGTATGCCACCAGTTTTCCATCTCCATCCGCTACCATCTCCTCACTTGCACAGATCCATTGCTCATCCTTCTGGGCTTTGATATTCCACCCTCACCCAAAGCCATGGATGCCCTCCTCACTCCACTTTGGCTCCAACTGCTCACCCCTGGTCACCACTCTATGTGGGTACCCTTCCTACCTGTCTGGGCTCAGCAGTAATTAAGAAAATACCCCAATTACACAGAGTGTAAAAGGCAGAGGTTTGATGAGACTACAAAGCCCATGTCCTTTTCACTTGACTACAGTGCCCCTCTGTGTCAAAAGAGGAAAAATTCAGTACTTTAGGTTTATCTCATTAGTATAATACAAATAGTTCAGTTTCAGTTTAAATAATTGACATGCATTCTGTCCCAGAAATTATTTTTCTGCCAGTCATCTGTCCAGACCATTATGTCATTTCTAATTATCTGCTAAAGCAATTACAAAGCCAACTTTCATGGAAAAGAGAACTTCTTTTGAAAAGCATTTTCTTGTGAATTCCCTTTCTTTAGCTGAAATAAAATACACTCTAATCAGAATGATCCTCTGACATCTGTGAAAGTTTGATAACTTAGAACTTTCCAGGAGTGATTTTTGTGAGGTTTATAGAGATGAATTTGTCCTGCTGCAGTAGTTCTTGTGAAACCAGCCATATTGTTTTAATATTGCTTGGTCTGTAGCATACCCGGAGAAAGAGTTAGGAAGGAAATGAATCTATGGCCACTGCCTGCTCAAGTTCCTCAAAGCCTGAATTAATCATGTATTTGATCATCAAAAGAATTTAAGAACAATTCTGATATTTTGTAATGTTCTAATGTGAACTTTTAGATTTAACTATTATTTCTACAAAAATGATTCAAAGCACTATCTGATGACTGTTGAAAAACAAGGAATAAGTGCCCTTTAACATTCATAAAGACAGGTGCAATGGCTCACACGCTGTAATCCCAGCACTTTAGTGGCTGAAGCAGGAAGATTTTTTGAGGCTAGGAGTTCAAGACCAGCCTGGGCAACATAGCAAGACCCTGTCTCTAAAAATAAAAAAAAAAAATAGCCAGGCATGGTGGTATGCGCCTGCAGTCCCAGTTATTCAAGAGGCTGAGGCAGGAAGATCGCTTGATCCCAGGAGTTCGAGGCTGCAGTGAGCTATGATCGTGCCACTATACTCCAGCCTAGTGACAGAGTGAGACCCTGTCTCTTAAAAAAAAAAAAAATTCATAAAATCCACAAGTTTTAATTATAGTTTTGAAAAGAAAGCAAAAACAAATCAAAACTCATTGGTAACTATTAAGCCCAACTCTTGACTATGAAATTTAAAGAGAACTATATGAAGCATCTATTCTGCCTTTTCTATCAAATTATTTTTCAGGGTATTCAAAATAGCTCTAGTTGATAAAATTACATTCTACAGAAGAATTTAACCCATGGAAAGAATGATATAATTAGATAATCACCATTTTTAACTCCTGTTAAAATAAGTGAGGAACAATCAGTGGGCAAAGCCATTAGTTAAAAGATTGATAGGGAACCTTACAATGATGGGATGAGATTGTCACCACTTATATCCAGTGATCATTATTAGCATCACTAAAAGTGGAATACATAGAAATTGTGAGCCTCTGGGCATGATACCATAGAAAATGCATACTGAAGTATATAAGGAAGGAATGATATATTTCGGGTTTGCTAGAAATACTTAAGAAAACAAAGGAGGTGGGGACCAAGATGAGGTAAGAGTGGTAAAATCTTGAAAACTGTTAAATCTGGTTGGTGGTATTTGGGGGTTCATTATACTGGTCTCTCTTAAGTATTTTTATTATAAAAAAGTTTTTTTGTTTTTTTTTCTTTAACTCTAGTTGACAGATTATATAAAAAGTTTTAAAGTAGCTTTAGTGTTTTGGGGATGATAAGATTAAAAAGAAAATTACTTAATGTCTTTTTTCTTTGTCTTTTTTAGAACCAACATTGATTATGTTTCATAATGTTAGAAAGTTGTCATCTCATACTTACGAGAATCGAACTATAAAGTTACAGAATTAATATCATGTCCCTTTGACAGATCTTTCCCTAGACCATTCTGACCTAGTTGCAGAGTTGCTGAAGGAGCTGTCTAACCATAATGAACGTGTAGAAGAAAGAAAAATCGCCCTCTATGAACTCATGAAGCTGACACAGGAAGAATCTTTCAGTGTTTGGGATGAACACTTCAAAACAATATTGCTTTTATTGCTTGAAACCCTTGGGGATAAAGAGGTAAATGACACAATATTATGTAAACAATAGCCTGTCCTTCGTATCTCTTTTAGATTGCCTGTTAATCAGGTACTGCACAGATTTGGAAATTGGGAAAATGAGTCTATTCTACTGCTTCTTTCCGCATGAAATCTTCACTATAAAGTACTTTTTCTTCACCAAGTAGCTCAATAATGTTGAACAGTTAACAACAGGAAAAATGAAAGGTTGCAGTCTGAATTCCTTATAGAAAAGTATATTTAAATTAGTTATTCAGAAGTAAAACTTCCTTTCATAGTCAGAATATGGTTGGTTCTTGATTTCTTGCAAATATAGAAAGTGTGATACATGTTTTCAGTTAGAGATGTGGAAACTTAATTATGTAATATACTACGTATTTTATGCAATTGTCTGCAATTCCCCCTCATGTTAAGAAATTAACATTAAGTTACAGAAATTAAAAATGTTAGGCTGGGTGCGGTGGCTCACGCCTGTAATCCTAGCACTCTGGGAGGCCAAGGCGGGCGGATTGTTTGAGCTCAGGAGTTCGAAACCAGCCTGAGCAAGAGACCCCATCTCTACTAAAAATGGAAAGAAATTAATCGGACAACTAAAAATACATAGAAAAAATTAGCCGGGCATGGTGGCGCATGCCTGTAGTCTCAGCTACTCGGGAGGCAGAGGCAGGAGAATCACTTGAGCCCAGAAGTTTGAGGTTGCTGTGAGCTAGGCTGACGCCATGGCACTCTAGCCCGGGCAACACAGTGAGACTCTGTCTCAAAAAAAAAAAAAAAAGAAATTAAAAATGTTAAAGAGTGTCTATAACCTAAAATATTAAAAACATTTAAATATTCCTCTTAGCCTACAATCAGGGCTTTGGCATTAAAGGTTTTAAGAGAAATCCTAAGGCATCAACCAGCAAGATTTAAAAACTATGCAGAGCTGACTGTCATGAAAACATTGGAAGCTCATAAAGATCCTCATAAGGAGGTAAGTTACCTGAGACTTAAATTATTTTATTCTCATTATTGCATGAAACATGTAAATGTTGTATAAAATGTACTCTTATTAATCATTTTCTTGATGAACATTTACTTTGATATTCAAAGTAACACCTGATTCAAGTTGTGAACATATTCTTTTTTCTGTTAAATGAATTATGTTGATATTATGGCCTTTCACCTAAAATAGGGCTAGCTCTAGGAAATGATTTATCTAATTTCATTTTCTCCTTCACTTCACTTTTAGTTTTCTACTTAGAATTCACCAGTCTTATCTTCACTTTCCATGTAGCAATAAGGATTTGATTATTTTAAGTGATTAATGGAGGTGACAAATCATTGTTATTTTTAAGTGGCAAATTGCGTATAGGAGCTATATATATGTTACAAGTTTATTCAATAAAGGAATAAGGATGTTCGCTTCAGCAGGACATACACTAAAATTGGAACGATACAGGGAAGATTAGCATGGCCCCTGCACAAAGATGACACAAATTCGTGAAGCATTCCATATTTTTCAGCCTCCAGTTGACAAAGAATAAAAAACCAGGGCCTTAAGTCATACAAGAACAAAGAAATTAATTCTGCCAACAAACTGAATGAGTTTAGAAGCAGATTCTTGCTCAGTGAGGTCTCCAGACAAAAATATAGCCCAGTTACTATCTGGATTGAGTCTTGTCAGATCCTGACCAGAGACCTGGATTCCTGGCCCACAGAAACTGTGAGATAATGAGTATGTGTTATAGTAGGAAAAAAAAAAAAAGTAATGAGGATACCTTTCATGAAAAATTTCTGTAAACCTGTTTCATTACTTTGTAGTCATGATATCTCCCCCTCTACACCAGTGACATTGATTAAATAACCATGAGAATTTTTATTATAATTTCAGAAAGAATTAGAAAAGGAAATTTCAAATAAGACTACATTTCTAAGAAAAAGCACCTGAGTAATAACATTAAGTATCTCTGGTAGAACCAAGACATTAGCAAAAAGAAAGTTAAAATAGCAGTGAGATAAGATGAATCAAAGCCAAATGCAAGAGCTACAACCATAAAACTTTAAGAAGAAAGCAGAGATGTAAATCTTTGTTATTTTGGAGTAGGCAGTGGTTTCTTAATATAAATCCAAAAGCAGAAGCAACTAATTAAAAAAACAAATAAATTGGACTTCATCAAAATTAAAAACTGTTGTGCTTCAAAGGATACTATCAGGAAAGTGAAAATACAACTCACAGAATGGGAGAAAAATTTCGCAGCTCATATAACTGATAAGGTACTAGTATCTGTAATATATAAAAGTAGTCTTGCAATGCAACAGTGAAAAGACAACCCAGTTTTTTAAATGGGCAAAGAATCTGAATAGACATTTATCCCAAAATTTATAAATGTCAATAAGCACATGAAAAGATGCTCAATACTATTAGTCATTAGGAAAATGCAGCTAAAACTACAATGAGATAACACTTAACATCCACAAGGAAGACAGATGGTAAATGTTGGTGAGGATGTGGAGAAATTGAAGCCGTTGGGGTAATTTACTTTTTTAAAAGATTTCACTGTGAACCTTCTAGGAGAATGAATCATAACTTTTAAATCTATCTGGATTTTTATACAGCTTTTTTAAATTCAGCTGGTATTTAGTAGTGATAAGTCTATAGCGTCTCACTGAAAGTTTAAAAAGCACTATTTAATATTTGTAGTTTGGTTATACACTTTCTAATCCAAATAAGGCCTGTAGCATCCCTATTTTTACAAAATATAAAATTGACATTTTTAAGGTGTTACAGCTGAAATTAGCCCTAGGTCTTCTGACTTCTGGTGTATTTTTTTTCAATGTATTTTCTACTGTACCTTTCTAAGCACCTTTCATCAATTAAAATCATAAATGAGACACTGACAGAGTAGCATAAAAAGCAATTATTTTTATATGTTTTTAAGATCATCTTTAGAGATTGCAGATTCTAATAAGAAGATAGACAACCATTTCTTCTCCTCACTGCAAAACCAGTGTTTTACCCTCCCCAAGCTCACTACAAAAGGAAAGAAACTCATTATGAAAAGAAGGGGGAATAGTATGTTAACTTTTGGTAACACATTAATGATAAGTTTTTTATTTTATTCCTTATTAATGTGATATAAAGGGTACTAGCACTCCTTAAGATGAGAGTTATTAATAATGAGCAGGGCCTCCAGCATAGCTGAGGCAGGAGACTCCATTCACATTATACTCTAGGCAAATAGAGCCTCCACACCCTGGCACAGCTAGATCAAAATTTTATTTAAAAACTACTTTTGCCAACAGTAAAAGAACACAAAAGAAGAGAGAAAGGTGTAATAAAGCCCCATATATCCATCATCTAGCTTCAACAGTATTGACATTTTGCCAATCTGTTTTATCTGTACCCTCACCTTTTATATGTGTGGATTTACTGTATTTTCAAAGCAAATTCCAAATATCATGTCATATTAAATACTTCATGAAATTTATACTTACGGAACATAATATAATGTTTTAAAAATTACTTTCTGGCTTAATTTCCTGTTTGTTTTAGGTGGTGAGATCTGCTGAGGAAGCAGCATCAGTATTGGCCACTTCAATTAGTCCAGAGCAGTGCATCAAAGTGCTTTGTCCTATCATCCAAACTGCAGATTACCCAATTAATCTGGCTGCAATCAAAATGCAAACAAAAGTAATAGAGAGAGTGTCCAAGGAAACTCTTAACCTGCTTTTGCCAGAGATTATGCCAGGCCTAATACAGGTAAGCAACAAAGCTTGGAGGAATAAGCTATGACACAGTAGGGGTTTGGTTATTTTAGGTACTTTCCAGGCAGAACTAGTGGCATGATCAAGCCTTCCTGCTGTCTGTGATGTTCAGGACAAAGACTTCCCATAACTAGCCAGGGTGGATGTGAGTGTAGTAAAATATACATAACATAAAATTTACCATTTAACCATTTTTAAGTGTACAATTTAGTGACATAAAATATATTCACAAAGTTGTACAGCCCTCTCTACTATCCATATCTAGACCTTTTTTACCATCCAAAACCGAAACTCTATACCCATTAATCAGTAACTCCCCATTCCTCCCTCCCTCCCAGCCCCTGGTACCTCTATTCTGCTTTCTGCTAGGTTTCTCATATAAGTGGAATTATACCATATTTGTCCTTTTATGTCTGCCCTGTTTCACTTAGCATAATGTTTTCAGGTTTCATCCATGTTGTAGCATGTATCAGAATTTCATTCCTTTTTATGTCTGAATAATATGCTGTTTATGTGTATACTATAGTTTATCCATTCATCTGTTGATGTTTATTCATTTATCTGTTGATTGTTTCCTTTTTTATTACATAAATACTGCAATGAACTTCTTGTATTATCTTCTTGTACTTCTATGTATACATCTAGAAGCAGAATTTCTAGGTGTTGCCAGATTTCTCTCAAAAATGGTTATGCTAATTTACAGTTATAGATGTAATGTGTATTTCTCTATCCACACAAACCCATGCATGTAAACATTTGAACAAAATGGGATTATATTTTGTAACATGCTTTCATTAACTTAACCATATATCGTGAACTCTTTTCATTTAGTAAATAATATTTTACAATGTAATTTTAATGGCTGACTAATATTACATGTGTATATTTAAACTTCTTCAAGGCTGAGCACAGTGGCTCACACCTGTAATTCTAAAATACTCTAGGAGGCCAAGGCAGGAGGATCATTTGAGCCCAGGAGTTTGAGGTTGCAGTGAGCTATGATGAAGCCACTGCACTTCAGCCCAGGCAACAGAGCGAGACACTTGTCTCAAAGAAAAAAAAAAACCTCTCCTAAAGAGAATTAATCATTCATTATTTTGTATATCTATAGTATCATATTTGTAATTCTATTCTAAGTTTAATATTACTCACTAAATTGTGAGGTCCTAAGATAAGATCCAAATCTCTTTTTCTGTCTATGCTTTCGTGCTAAACAAATGTTTGCTAGATGAATAACTCAGAGTATGAAGATACTAGCAAAGAGCTGTTGTGGCTTTAAGTTCTTGTAAATTTCTTATTTTCTCTCATGTTAGCTTGGTGCAAAATCTTATAGCATACCTAATTTTTGGGAATAGGTATCGTACCTATCAGAAAAGCCCAAGAACTCTAATGAATTTAAATATTAGCATTTTAATTTTTTGCTATAAACTATTAAAATTAGGATATATAGGTAATAGGACCTGAGCAAGGAGAGGCAAGAAGACAATGGCAATATAGTTTTTGAATGCCTGTAAGTTTTCTCACCAAATGTTATCTCACTTAGCAACTAGGATTGCATACAAAAAACATCTTCAGCAAAATTAGGGAAAGATATCCAAGTGAACCCCGGAATAATGAGCAGATGGAACCAAACCATCACCAGCACTAGCAGCAAATTCCCCTGAGGATCTCAGTGGTATGGAAAAGTGTAAAGGAAAATCAAAAGTTACTGTTAAGGCCCTGGTGCCGATATGTGCTCTCTTGCCCTTCTGTCTTCTGCCATGGGATGACAGCAACAAGGCCCTCACCAGATGCCGGTACCTTGATATTGGACTTCCCAGCCTCCAGAACCATGAGAAATAAATTTCTTCTCTTCATAAATTAAAGAAAAAAAAGACTCTGGTGCCAGAGAATCACACAAGTGCTCACCCCTAAAAGAGAGATCCCTATTCTGAGTGAAGAACTAATATGCATGATTGAAATGAGAAAAAATTACAGGTGAAGACAGAGATACTGTAGGAAGACCAGATCACATTGGGGTAGCCTGGATCCTCAAGACTTTTAGAAATACCTCACAGAATTTCCCTTCCAGAAAGAGCTTCTCATTTTGGAAGAACTCCCTGGAATAGAGTCTACACCGAGCTCATATGACAGCAGTACTGTGGCAGAGGTGGCTACACAGAAAGACCATATTTTTTAATACTTGAAGATAACAAGAAGGAGGAATCCTGCAGCAGTAAAGCTAGAAAAGCTTTCATAGCCCAATGCCACCCTACTACACAGAAAATTTCTCTTAAAATATAGAATATATTTAAGCCCATTTCAGTTACATATGAGTGACAGAAAAGGGTTATAGGGGTCAAGCCCCATACAAAGATATTACCCACCCCTCCACCTCAAAAAAAGAGGAAGAAAATAATGGCCTGAAGTGTACCTACAATGAAGGTACACTAGAAAAATATGGCCACAAAGCAAATGGAAACATAACCCAAATTTAAGAAAAAAGGTAAAAAAAAAAAAAAAAAAGTAAGAAAACAATAGGAGCTAATAAAAAGCATGAATCCAAATTTTTAAGCTTATAAAAGGGAGAATTAGACAATAGGTAAATTTAAAAACAGAGCAGTCAGAGCTCAAGGAAGAATTTTTTTACTGTAAATGCCTAGTCGGATATACCCTAAAGATGAAAGAAACCACCAACAAATCTTGAACTGCCTTCAATATATTCATAGTTAGGAAAAATAATGAGATAGTTATTTTATAGAATAACTATATTGGTTATTCTATATTCTGTAGTTAATTAGTATAAAATAGGAATAACATTGGTACCTATATATATATGTCAGGATAAAGCAAATAATGGTGGTATAAAAAAAAAGAAGTAAATCTTAAAATCTTAACTTTGAATTGTTTTTTTCAGAATGAAATTATTATTTAATTTCTTATCTCAAAAAATGTTTCCTAGACATGTCCTCTGAATCAATATCAACCCAGTAACAGTGAGCATCCCTACCCAGATTATGGTCTCCAAATACCATTTTCCACTCAAAGGAGTCAGGTGTCTTTGGAAAAATGACTGGTTTCAGGTTTGGAGCAGGAAATGTACAAAATGAGCTTGGAAAGTCTTGTGTCTGAAAGCAAGAAAACAATTTGAGGGTCAAAAAGAATAATGCTACAATGAATTAAAATACATCAGATTTTAAAATGAAATTCATGAGTTCATATTGATACTAATAATTGGCCAACTTTGAAGGTTACCGGGACACTAACTTATTATTCTCAAAATTGGTTAATAAAGTGAAAGAATCAAATAGCCTACCGACCCTATTTTCAGGATAACCACCACGTATTTGATGAGATAAAGAATTTCAGAAGAATTCCAGTTAGTAAATGCAGAAGAAATTATTGACTTATAAAACTACCATTTTTGTTCTTTAACCTGTTGGTTTATTTTTTTTTAAATGAACATTTTGGGGCTCCATTGAAACAATAAATGTATGAAGTGTTTTCTAATGGTTGCTAAAACACAGAGGTGAAAAGATGATGGGGACGGGTATATAAGGAAGCGATTAAATTAACAACACCTAAACCTACTGATCAATCTTAACATCACTGAAGGCCAAACAACTAGACATCATGTGTCTTTCGATGAGATGCGCAACCTTTAAAAAGTCTTCTTCCCTAAAATAATTGAACCTAAATCTAATCAAGCCTCTTAGTTTAACTGTCATTTTAAAGGAAGTTCAGAAAATAGAGAAACATGTTAAATTGCACCTTAAAGATGCATTCAGTCAAATTCAGAATTTGGAATTTCCTTTCTTGTAGGAAATTCTACAAGAAAAATTGCCAAATTCCTTTAATAAAGAAGTGGCATGAAAAAAGGGGGAGAAGAGGTTAATGACTGTTACAGATTTAAAGAATCTTACAAGCCTAATCAACTTGAAAAAGAAGAACAAAATTGGAGGACTCACACTCTTGATTTCAAAACTTACTACTAAGCTACAGTAATGAAGACAGTGTGATACCGCCATAATAATAGACTTATAGATCAATGGTCTAGAATCCAGAATCTGAAAATAACCCTGACATTTATGGTCAATTGACCACAGTTTTTTGGGGGAAAGAACAGTATTTTTAACAAATGGTGCTGGAACAACTGGGCATCCATGTGAAAAAGAATGAAGTTGAACCCCTGCATCACACCATATACAAAAATTAAGGAGTGATGACACAGAAAATGGCAGAGTAAGGAGCTTGAAGAATTGATTGCTCCAGTCTGGGCAGTGTGGCTCAAACCTGTAATCCTAGCACTTTGGGAGGATCACTTGAGGACAGGAGTCTGAGACCAGCCTGAGCAAGACCCCATCTCTACAAAAAATAGAAAAATTAACTAGGCGTGGTGGCGTGTGCCTATAGTCCCAGCTACTCGGGAGGCTGAAGCAGGAAGATTGTTTGAGCCCAGGAATTTGAGGTTGCAATGAGCTATGATGATGCCACTGCACTCTAGCTCAGGCAACAGAACAAGATGCTGTTCTCAGAAAAAAATAAAAAATTTAAATAAAAAAGAAGGAAAATTAATTCCTTCACCTAAGCACCTTAGCAAAAACGGATAGAATCAACTTTTTGAAACTCTAGGATCTAACCAAAAACAGCAACTAAGGGAGTGTAATAAAAGAAAGAGGCTGCTAAAATTCAGTAAGAAAGTTACTGCCTGCCATTCACCCTACCTTGGGGACAGTGGCCCACATTTGTCGTACAGCTTGCTGATGCAAGGAGAGACAACATGAACCTTATTCTCAAAAAATTATGGTTATGTGTTTGATTCTCTGGCATTCCCTGAGAGACTGGCACAAAGACTGTCCTTTGTTTTGCCTCCCCTCAGGCTGAAGTGGGTTCCAAAGTGGCATCTGTCAAAAACATTTACAGACATACACTACCCGTAGCCACCTGAGGCAAAGAGAGCAGACAGGGCAAGCAGCAGACAGGCAGAGAAGCCTGGAAAGGAAAGGAGAAGGCTGG